GGATGACAATTTCCCCATCCCCGACGAGGACCTGACTTCCCTAACCCAATGGGGTTGGGGATGGGGATTGTTTTGGCGGGATGGAGGCAAGGACGAGGATTAATAGGAATCCCCGATCGAGGTCGGGGTCGGGGATGGGGATTGAGGTCCGACTGAATGGAAATTTATTAAATCTTTCAATTAACAATAATAGAAATTTACCATGTGGTTGATACTCAATATATCATTTTAATCATTTGTATCATCAATTTGAATATTGGGTTGATGGGGACAGTACTTTCAAAGCTAGATCAAACCATATGGTTAAACCAAAAAAATTGGGTACCAGACACCATTTCACCTCAAAACCACTTTTTGTCCAAAAACTGTTTATTTGGTTAGCGAACTGTTGACTTGGGCGGTCGAACCGTCAACCTAGACAGCAGTTTTTGTGACAGCAGTTTTTGTCTATTTTTGTTTTTCTAATTTTTTTTTGTCAAAGCAGGTCATCCGTTCGGACCAAACAGTTAGATCGTTCGACCCCAGACAGTTCCCTATCCAGTCCAATTTTAAAAACCTTGGACATGGAGTGGGTGCATTGCCTTGAGCTTGGCTTGGTGTGCGGCATGGCCTGGCCCAAGGCCTAGCCCATGGACCTGCTCAACCCACGACACGACACAGGCCCGTGCGGGCTCGGCCGTGGGCCGTGCCAAACCGACCCCCCAAATTATCCTAGAGGAGGGAGGCATGGCCCGGGACACCTCGTGGACCAGCATGGCATGACTCGCACTTTGTGCGGGCCACATGTGGGTTGTGTCGTGCCAACCCAACACAACCCAATTTACACATCAACTTGAACCCACCCAATACTGGGGACGGGGCAGGAAAATTCGAGGATTCTCCATCCTTGATGAGGAGTGGGGTGCTTTGCCCCTGAACTCGCCCGACTTTGAGGAGTGGTTACCTTGCCCTAAACTCGCGTGACAATGGGGACGGGACGGGAATGGGGTAAAGTGTCTTGATTATGGGGCAGGAAAAGGGATGGGGTGCCCTACTCTGAACCCACCCCGTTGTCGTTCATATATAATTGTTAATTATTGATAGAATTAATAAAATGTTAGCTTTTATAATTATTTTTATTTATTTAAAATTAATCAAAATTTCATTTAAAAATAATAAAAAAAATAAAAATTATTAAAATTACTAAAAATTATTAATAAAACTAAATTTATTAAAAAATATTTATTCATATTCAATTAACAATAATTATTTTTATAAATCAACATTAAATGAAAAATAAAATTATTAAATCTTTCATATTTTCCTCGCTAGTTAAGTTATGAATTCTAAGATTGAGAGAGATCTATAAAAAATAAAAAAAGGCCTTTACCTTACTTGTGGTTGTGGATCAGATTCGTACTCATCCCATTCTCTGACATGCCGTACCACTGTTTGTACTATTTAAATTGATCGGGTGGGGCCACCTTCTATCACCGCCCATAACTCATTATTCAAGATTCAAGACGAACTAAACCAAGAAGGCAAGAACCGCGCTCAATCCCATTACCTGCCCTGCCATATATGGCATTGATATATGCTGCACCTGCACATGCACCTGCACGCCTGGACGGTCGTTCATGGTGGTGTTGTATATATACTTGGACGGTTTATGGAATACAGGCTACGGTTCAGAGCTGAACAATACCTTATCCATCGAGTATCGATGAATGCCTGAATCAATGGGCCATCCCATTGGAAAGGTGATCGATTGGTTTAGTGGTTTAGTCCAAGCTCGAGCGTTAAGAAAAGGAAGAGAGAAGAGAAGAGAAAGAGCACAGAGGAACAGGTATATCGTACCTAGGCTCATGTACGCTGATTAGTTTGTGTACATCAAATCTTATGATATTCTGTATATTTGCTCGACTGATAATTTGGTCTTCAAACTTTAAAATGAGATAATATAATATTTAAACTTTCAATTTGGGACAATCTGATACCTAATGTTAACTCACCATCAATCAAAATCATCACGTGACATCAACTGCATTTAAATAATTTCATAATAACAAAACTAACCTTTGTGATAATATTCGGATTTTACTCTTTTCCTTTCATTTTACCCTGTTCCCTTCCTCTTCTTTTTCCCTCCTATCCAATTGAATTCTAAAATCTATTTTACTTTGTGTTCAGTCTGTCACGGGGATGGATGGAAAGAACAAAGATGTTGCTGAATCTTGAAAGACTCTGGTCACTTGGTCTTGGTCATTTCTGAGAAAGATAAACATGAATCAGAAGAGAATGCTTGGGTTTATAGGGAAGCACACTCGATTCATCTACAATAGCGGTGACGAGATAGAAGAAGAAGAATAGGTTGTAGAAATGAAAAGTTTATCACATGGTATCGTGTGTTTGAAGGGTATGCCCAAGGTTCAAAATATCGATTCGCCCAATACGTTGGTATGGGCGTATCGAGTGAATCGATACTCTTTTTGGTGGTTATTTTTTTTTATTTTTTTTCGCCAACTAGTTTAGGTCTTCGCCACACCCTGAACCGGTTAGACCATCGATACACCCATTGTAGGGGCGTATCGGTGGGGTGCTGGAACGATACGTATCGGCCGGTACGGGCCGATACATGTCAATACTTTGAACCTTGGGTTTGTCCATCTGGTAGGGAAGCATCTTCGCTTCCTTGAAGAAGAGTAAAGAGGAGAGATGGGCTTTCGATAGCGAGCAATATTGTAGGAGACTATGATCATTGTTTTTTTTTTGTTTTTTTTTGAGAGGAACGAATTTTCGAAAGTGGCACAACCTATCTCTATTTTTATTCTTAATCTACTTGTTGTCTTTCATAGTATAACTTCAAAACGATTTAAAAATCCCCACCGTCGGTTCCACAGTTTACTACTTCCCACAAGGCCATGTGGAGCAAGCTTCTTCTCTAGATTTTAGTTCTTTAGCCTGCGTTAGGCACATGGTTTTGTGTAGAACCGTGTCGGTTATGTTCCTACCGAATCTTGATACTGATGAAGTTTTTGCAAAAATACGTCTGAGGAAAAGATGTTTTCCGGAATGGTTCATATGCCGACGGTTGCAACGAGATTGTCGTAGGACGATGGCATTGAGGAATCTGAGGAAAAGATTTTGTCATTCTCGAATATCCTGACACTAAGCGATGCAAACAATGGAGGTGGATTTTCGATTCCCAGGTTTTGTGAAGATTCAATATTTCCCCCCACTGAACTACAAGGCGGAGTCGCCAATATAGACGATTATAGTGAGAGATGTTCATGGTGTGATGTGGGATTTTCGGCACATTTACTATGAAACGCCATGTCAGCATTTTTTGACAACTGGGTAGAGTAAGTTCGTAGACTTGTTCTTGGAGATTCAGTGGTTTTTATGAAGAACCAAACTGGATAGCTTTTTGTTGGGGTAAGGCGCACTGCGAGGTCAAGCGGCAATATAGATTGAGTTTGGTGGAATTATCATGTTGGATCGGCTTCTCCCATTGTGAAAATGAAAGAGGGGTTCTTAAGGAGTGGTGGGGGCAAGGTTCCATTAAATCTATAGTAGAGGTTGCTGAATTAGCGAGAGTAAATAGGTTTTTTGAGGTTGTTTATTATTTGAGAACAAGTTCATCGGATTTTGTGGTCAAGCGGAGCGGAAGAGAAATCCCTCAGTATAATGGTCATTTTTGTCATTTCGAAAATGATTCAAACTCGGTTATTAAAAAATGAAATAGGTATTTATATCTTTTTATGCACCGACTAACGATAAATTAACGCCACATACCAGATTATCACAAATTAAAGGTTTGGATATTGGATTGTCGCGTTTAAAAGATGGGGGAATAAATTGTCACTCGAGCCAGGGTATATTGAACGAGAATTGATAGGCTACAGCTTCCTTTTGCTTCTTTGTGCACATTTAACACAGGTCAGGTGGACCGTACAGTAACCACCACTGCCCGCAATCATTGGACGTCCTCCAATCAATGCCGCCAACGTAGCGCCACCCTCTACCATTGAGTGAGGGAGCGGATGGCCGACAAGAAGATTCGTGGACACTGTCAAGCCCCGACTTGTAGCCGTTCACGTGTCCAATAACAGATGCACCATGATCGTACTCGTACGGTCAATCTGGTCTAATCTCTCCTACACACCTATTAGAGTCTAGAGTCTAGAGACCAAGTAGAGCTGTAGAGAGTAGAGAGTAGAGAGTAGAGAGTAGAGATAGATTGCCTCCTCCCTCCAGTAGCTGTAGTCCTCCACGGTCCAGGGCCGTCCAGGCTCCTGTTGTAATGATTCTCACAGTCACAGCCCTACAAAACTCATAACCCTAGTCCAAATCATTCCATTCATTTGCCAAGCTGCTGGTAGTGGGACCCCTTGACAATACATATACACCCGGTTGGTCCGAGAGACGTGAGTGGGGGACTGTGACCTCATCTCTGACCTCTCACCTGGAGTGGATGATAGATATCCTAATCCAAATCCTACACCCGGACAAGTGATAGGCCTGATTTTCACTTGAATTACCAAGAATGCCCCTTTATCCTAATTACGCTTTTAGTAAGGTAGTTGTGGTAGTTTCACGTCTTTCTTCGTGGCTACATGGTCTTTACCCTGCTTCTCTGTAAGGTTATTCTCGGTAATCAAATCCAAGTCTATCCAATATGAATATTTGAAAACAAAAGACAACTTACAGAAATGTGATGTGAGCGACGGATATTTGTCAGAGTTTATGGTTGTTAATGTCCGTTGAAACTTGAGAGCACTGAGCACATGGTCATGGACGGAGACACTCGCTTCGTCGCCGGAGAATGACAGGTTTCTTTCCTTTGAATCGTCGGAATTTCGTAACCAAGATTCTTTCAAAACTTTTCTGAGGCTGAATTGCACCCAGCTTTGGGCTCTAGTGTGATACAATTGTTTCGCCGTCCCTTTACATTCGTGGTCATCGGAACCCTGTCTTTTCTTTTCTGTCCAAAGGTATCTGAAATGCAAGATCTCCAGTCAATGGGGAATGGAGGCGGTCGTGTCTTCGTCGGAGACCGACGGTTGCGTCCTCACCCAAATCAAGCCTTGAAATGCCCGCGCTGCGACTCTCTCAACACTAAGTTCTGCTACTACAACAATTACAATCTCTCTCAGCCCCGCCATTTCTGTAAGAGCTGTCGAAGGTACTGGACCAAGGGCGGTGTCCTCCGTAACGTTCCTGTCGGTGGAGGTTGTCGGAAAACCAAACGATCGAAGCCGAAACCCTCTCCGGATACCAACAAGGAGAAGAAAGCTACCACCTCCTCGCACTCGAGCAGCGAGAGCTCAAGCCTTACTGCAGCCACGACGGCGACAACGACGGAAACAGCGTCAGCGCCTTCTTCGAGTTCTGCAGCAGCAGAGCCAGGAATAGGGTTGCTTAATTTTCCCGATTCTAGGCTGTTCCTATCTCAAAATCCCAGCCCAAGTTTCGAGCCATGTATGCTGGACACGCTCGAGAAACCGTCAGCGGCTGACGGCGGTATCTTCCCCGAGAGCGGAAGCTTCACGAGTTTGATAACAGGATCAAACCCAGGACTTGTGGGGCTAAATTACTCGGATATTTCACCGTTCCGGATGCATGCACAGCAACGGAGGATGGCAAGTATGGTGGAAGAGATGAAGATGCAGGAATTAACCGCGGGAGGGTTCATAGATCAGACCTTTCCTGTAGAGTTGCCAGAACCAGGGTTGCAGAACAGGACGAATAATGGCAACGGAGGAGGGATAATGGGATTAGATTGGGCGAGCAGTGGAGATGGAGTAGGAGGCTTGTTTGATTTTCCAAGCTCCATTGATCAATGTTACTGGGGTCAGAACCAGTGGACTGACAACGATCAAGGTCTCTACCTCCCCCAAAATTCACCATTTTGACTGCCAATTCCGAAAGTCGGAAATAAGAGAAAAACGACGAAAACGTATATATATATATATATTTTAAACGGAGAGGAACCATCCATCTGTGTAAATTTTTTATTTTACTTTCATGGGTTTTCTTTGGGCCTTCGGAGGTTCTTCACTTCTGCGAAGTGCTTGGTTTGAAGATAATGGCGTTCCTCTGCAACTGACTTGCATGCCAGTTTCTTTTCTTTTTTTTTTTTTTTGTGTACGTGTTGATTTCCTTTTATAATTTCTTTTCTTTACTTAGAGGACTTATTTCTACTGTTTATTTATGGAATTAATTATTAAATAAACATATATTAGAGATAGACAGAAATAAGATTTTTCTTTTTCTTTTTTCTTGATGAATGAACGAGGAAAGTTAAGAGTTAAGACAATTCTTATTTGGCCTGTGCAGTTGAGTGCCGGTGCTTTGTGATGATCATCGCCGATTAGTAGGTTTTCATTCCTGAATTTTATAATTTTTTTTTTTTGGTGTACCATGAGGTCAGTGACAAATATCTCTCTCCTCAGGGGTGGAGCCAGGACGGGGCTAAAAACTAATAACATTATTGATTTATAGGTACGTGTATGAAAATATAAGTGGACGAAAATTTTCCGAGGAAGCTTTTGACCTGCTTTACCGTCTTTGGTGGTGGCATTTCCTGTATGGCGGTAATTTTGTCTCGGTCGATTTCGATGCCCCGATTATTGACCATAAATCCCAGGAACTTGCCTGTCCGGACCTCAAAGGCAGATTTCATAGGGTTCATCTTTAAGTTAAACTCCGGGCATCTTTCCAAGACTCGAGTCAGGGCGGCTAAGCGCTGATCCGCTGTTTTTGTTTGGTCATCTACATAGTCTTCCAGGAAATCATGAAAAATTATTATCAGAGCCCTTTGATAAGTAGCTCAGGCATTTTTGAGACCGAAAGATATCACCCGGCATGTAAATGTACCGAATGGGGTATAGAATGCAGTTTTGTGTATGTCAGAGTGCTGCATGCGGATTTGATTATACCCGGAATAGCCATCCATAAATGAGAAAGATTCACAACCAGCAGTGTGGTCGATCAAAAGATCCATACAAGGTACAAGAAAATCATCGGGATGTAAGTAGAAATTGTGGGGATTTTAAAATGCATAGTTGAGTCATGGCCCTTTGGCCATTGGACCTCCTCAAATTCCATTTTTCAATGGGGTTAAGGACTTAAAAACATCCTATCACACATCTCTTAAATACTGAAACTTCCTCTGTTTTTAAAATTGGACTAAGACCTCCCTTATTAGGTGAGATCATTGGACAAAAACCTCCTCTTCTCTAACAAATATGCTACGATCCACTTGCACTTGATATCATGTGCAGGTAAAATTTTATAAAAATCCAAATTTTCCCTTATTCAAAATTGAAACCCCAATATAATTTGGCTGTTTCTGATGACCAGAAAAAATCCCTTTCCACTATTTCTTGTCTCATTATTCAGTATTTCTGTTGTTTTTTGTTTTAAATTATTTATTAGATATAATCTCTGTTTTCTTCATGAGTCAAAATATGTAAGAAAAAAAATCTATACCAGCTTCAACTATAGGAGATTCTATAAATATGGTTTCGGAGGAAAGATTGGTCTTAATTCCTCTACGAAACAAAACAGAATAAAACAACCATAAGCATTGTCAATCGACTTCATAGCCAATGAGTTATGAAGAAGTAGTGGGTTTACTTTCTCTCCAGTTTTAAAAATCTGTTGGATTTTTATTGGATGATTTGAGAACTTCCTCAATTAAACCAATGAGTAGGCGTTCAAACATGGGAGATGGAAAATCAAGACTACTCCTGTATTGTTTGTAATTAATTAAACTTACAACTTTATTTCTTTTCGGGAGAGGTGCCTTCAAAATTGATCAAGGGAAATTCGGCCCGACCTCGCGATCGTCCGACACGTGGCAAAGGCAAGCAGCTCGGGACAGTAGAGCACCCAAAGCGAACATCGGAAGCAAGTCCGAACTCACTACCGAGCCCGAACTCTAGACCACTGTACCTAGTCCGAGCTCCTTGTTAAGAGCGAGCTCCCTGTCAAAGGCCCGAGCTCCCTAAAAACCCGAGCTCCCTAAGAACCCGAGCTCCCTAAATCCGAGCTCCCTGCTAGGAGCCCGAGCTCCCTGTTAAGAGTGAGATCCCTGTTAAGGGTCCGAGCTCCCCAAGAACCCGAGCTCCCTAAAAACCGAGCTCCCTATTAAGAACACTCCCTACTGGGAGTCCGAGCTTGCTATTAAGAGCGAGCTCCCTACTGAGAACCCGAGCTCCCTGCAAGGAGCATGAACCATACTGGGCCCCAAGCCTCACAAAGCTGACCCGA